TGCTGTGCTCTAGGATATTTGCATACATTTTCCCCTCGTGCCCGAGAAGAGATATGCCTCTGTAGGTGTTACAGTCATTTTTGCTGCCCCTTTTCTTCCCTATTGGCACAACTCTCTCATTTTGCCACTCTGCTGGTACTTTTCTCTCTTTCCAAGCTTTCTGGAAGGTGATTGTAAGCCAGTGTATTCCGGTTTCACCGCATGCAAGGATGGCTTCGGTTGAAATGGCATCGTCTCCAGCTGCCTTGTTCTTTGGATTAGTCTTCAGTGCTTCTTCCAGGATGGTAGGTTCTAAGTGCTCTGGGTAGCTGGCGATGAAAGGGCACTGTGTGTTTTGTGCCTGTACTCCTGATGGGTTTAGAGGTTCTTGAAAACATTCTTCTATCTCTTTATTATTAATTCTTTCTCTTCGTGTAGAGCTGCTTCATTTGTATCGTTGATAACAGTGGAGGGTATATTGGGTTCGTCTCTCACTCTCATTGCCTTCACCTTCTTGAAGAACTAACTCTCTTCGTGAGGTCTTGCAGGTTTCACTTAGCCTTGCGCCATAATTGGTGCATAACTTTTCTTTTGATGTTATAACAACTTTCTTGCAGAGTCTTCTTGCCAGTCTAATATTTAATGTTGTCCTCTTCGCTTTTTGACTCGACCCATACTTTATACAGTCTCCTTGTTTCCCTGATAGTAGAGATAGCATCCTTAACTTCTTCGCTCCTTTAAGCTGTTGCCTTTCTCCGTCTTCCTCTTGTCTTCTTGGTACCACAGACTTCTTTCATAGTGTCCTGGAGAGCTGTTTTGAAGGTGTTCCAAGCTTCCTCAGCGGTTAGTATTGTAGAGTTAATTGAGTCTAGCTTTTCATTTAAGGTGCATCTGATCTTAATCTGCTCTTGATCATCTCTGAGATTTGACATCTTTAGTCTCTCTTGCTGTCTTTATGGTTTGCTGGTTTTCTTTTTTCTTTCTTTCTTGGGGGTCAACGTTGTGATGACTGGCCTGTGGTCTGTGTCCAGGCCTGCATTGGGGACAGCTCTTGAGTCTGTGATTGTGATCCACCTTCGAGATCTCCATAACATGAAATCGATCTGTGATGAGACCTTGCTGTTGTTCCTTTTCTACCAGGTGTAGATCTGAGAGGCTCTGTGCTGGAAGAATGTGTTGGTGATGAATAAGTCGTGCTCTCCACACAGTTCCAATACATGGTTGCCATAATTTAGTTTATTTGTTGAGCTGCATGCCCTTCCTCCGGTCAAAGTCAAAGTCATCTAGACAGCAAAGACAAACAGAATGAGAAAAAGAGAGAGAGAGAGCGACACAGAGCGAGAGAGAGAGAGAGAGAGAGAGAGAGAGAGAGAGAGAGAGAGAGAGAGAGAGAGAGAGAGAGAGAGAGAGACAGACAGACAGACAGACAGACAGACAGACAGACAGACAGACAGACAGACAGACAGACAGACAGACAGACAGACTGACTGACTGGCTAACAAACAGACAGACAGACAGAGAAACAGACAGACAGACAGACAGACAGACAGACAGACAGACAGACAGACAGACAGACAGACAGACAGACAGACAGAGAGAAAGACTTTGAGAGAGATATAGAGGTGGAGGTTTAGAAGTGGCGCCGCAAGAGAGAGGGAGAGAGAGAGAGAGAGAGAGAGACAGAGAGACAGAGAGAGACAGAGAGAGACAGAGAGACAGACAGACAGACAGACAGACAGACAGACAGACAGACAGACAGACGGACAGACAGACAGACAGACAGAGAAGAAACATGTATTTGAGAGAAGTAGAGACAGAGAGCGAGAGAGAGAAAAGAGAAAGAGAGTGGGGGCTGACAGAAAGTGAGGGAGTGAAGGAGAGAGAGGGAGAGAGAGAAAGAGACAGAGAGAGACAGAGGGAGAAAGAGAGAGAGGGGAGAGAGAGAGAGAGACAGAGAGAGAGACAGAGAGAGAGACAGAGAGAGGGAGTGAGAGACGCCAAGAGTCGTGTTGCCTGGTTGTAGGTTTTATATTGCAGTCAAAAGTTCGTGGTGCAGCTTATCCTAAAATATCTTTTTAATGGGTGAATGTCTATCAAACGTACATTGCATAGCACAGTTTGTATCAATTTGTCTCAATTTCATTATTTTTTCCTTAACAATTGAGGCTAGATTTTAACAAACGTTTTTTCATAGATTTATATAAAATTTTACCATAAATCTCCTTCGCGCAAAAAATAGGATTGCTCACAGTACTTCCCACTTCTCTCTCTCACACACACACACACATTTTGCATGCGCATATGGCCTACGTCACAGCTCAATAATAACACTTTTTTTAAAGAAAAATAATTGTTAGAAGAAATTAATTTTTTCCACTAAAATAAGTGCTCAAGAAGCACAATGTCGGGATTTAAAAAATGGTGACGGATATTGTTGCAGCTGTTAAGTTTTTAAAACCTGTTAAAACAATCGACTGCTTTTTTAAAATTAGTATTTATTAAGGTACTTTCTGGAATACGGTGTACAGAATCAGATGTTTAACAAAAATATTCATCAGTAAAGACAAATTAAAATAAGTCATTATACAAAAGTTGGAGATTCTATGTTCGATAGTTATAAGGATAGTTATTAAGGAGATATTTTAACCGCACTATAGACTGTTCCTTCCGTCTCTACCACTCATTTGCTCTCGCGTATCTCTTTTTACCTCCAAATACATACACACTCATGTGTGCTAGCTGCCTCCTCTACCCCACCCTCATCCCACCGCCACCCAACCCACGCCTTTCTTTTTTCTTCTCTTACATAAAAGAAAAATGATTTACTTTGATCTCGAACGTAATAAATAACTCGAACCTCTTCTTGTTCTCCCCAGCACTACATCCGCATCTTCCCCAACGTCTGTGTCCAGTCAGGTAAATGGAAAAAAATGTTGACAATGTTTCGTACGGCAATATTTCGTTTGTTTATGGCTAAAACAGCACCTAGACATGAACTGTTGGTGCCTTCATAAATAGAATATTTCATGGTCTGGTATTTGTCATTTTATAAAAACAATATTGTGTGTTGCATTGTGGCGAAATCAGGCACTCGACAATAATATAATGTACACGAAGAAATCAGCATTTTTTCAGCTGGTTTGGCATTTTTAATCGAAACTATTATGTCCTAAAATGACGAGTGCCTGATTCCACCTTATAATAAAATATAACATGCTTGTAAAAGGAGGAAAGGGGGGGGGGGGGGGGTAGGGAATAAATACACATAGAGAAGAAGGACACTAAAACGGCACATAGACATGGACCGTTTGTGAGTTTATAAATAAATTGTTAATGGTTTAGGTAAAAGTTTTGTACTTTTTGCATTACAATACCGTGGAAGAAGAAGTGCAGTTGAAACTGTTTAAGACAACCACACATTGTCGAGAAGTAATGTGGCCTTCTCAGACTCGTTTCAGTTTGCGCTATACAGAGCAAAACTATTCTGTGGAAGTATCTAAAATGAACGTCAGACTTTTGGCAGCTAAATATTGTGTTCAAATTTGAAACACAACTTGTTAATTTGGAGGAAATATTTACCAAAAAAGTTATAATGTTTTGTTGTTTTTGTTTTGTTTTTGTTTTTGTTTTTGTTTTTGTTTTTGTTTTTCTTTGGGGGGGGGGATTACACTGTCCATGAGTCACAGAGTATAGTGGAAGAACGATAAGGGTAGACCCTCAAAAAATTGCAACAAAAATAAAAGTTGTAAGGTTCGACAGATAAAACTGGTCGCTATTATGTTTTTAAAAAATCGACGTTTGAAATCGTGGAGGAGATGGTTTAAAAATGCGTAAAATGTTGCAAAAACCAAAACTTGTAATACAACCAAATCGGTTGTCATACTTGTTTTACATACATTTCTACGGATTTACCCGGAAATTAGGTACTCATCATCATTATCTGTCCACCCGTCAAAAAATAATGATTCGTGTAAAAAGTATGAGAATGCGTTTTTCTCTCACACCCTCAGCCGGAGCTTCTTAGTAGATGTTTGTGTACTGTGTAATTCCCCTCTAGACAATTGCCCCTTGTGCAATTAATATCACAAGGTGGGAATGGTACTCTCGCAGTTGTGCAATATGAAAAGAACAATATGAAGATGACTGAAGGGCTACAAGAGCCCTTTTGATGTCCCCGCCAAGAGTCGCGTTGCTAATTGTAGGTTTTATAGTGCGGTCATGTAAATGTAAGTAAGTAAGTGCAAAATCTTTTGACAAACATAGAAAGATTAGTCACAGTCCTGGCAGCAAGAGTTCCAATTTAGCAACCGCTGAATTTTTAGTGGTCTGCAAAGAAAGCTGTGCAGTCAAACAAAGTCATAGGGACCTATAATGTCATTCATGTGCGAACCAAGACTCAAAGTCAGGACACAATAAAGAAAGGACGGTTGTTTTTATTCCTTTGCAACTTCTTTTTTAGCATCCACAAGTTATGTTATATTAGACGTTGAATCTGTTATAAAGTAAGAACATCTTTGAGACCTCAAGATGCTCTAAAGATACGTGCCGGTCATTGTGTTGTATCCTGTCAGAAGGCAAATGGAGATGAGCAGATCAATACTCAGGATCTGATGACCAATTTGGAAGACCATCTGCATGAAGTGAATGGCATAGTACGGAGACCACAGTACCTGAAATAAAACAACTGATGGGGTGCAAGGGAAAGCATAAAATGGAGGTTGATGGAGAGCAGATTTTGGTTCATCAATTTAAGTAATCGGCTTCTTCAATCATACGAATACGAGAATTTTATGAAACACCAACGGGCATTAAGGATGCCAGGTAGAAGGAAATTGTCAAAAACAGCTTGTCAAATGGTCAAAAATTTACTTTTGAAAAAAAAAGTCTATATCCATGAAGAAATCTAATTGGATATATTTATGGAGAAGAAAACGCATTAACTTGGTGCTCTTTCTTGATACTGTTCATATGTACTATAACTCACATCTGAAAATAGCTGCCAACCGACCGAGATCTATGATTGCTCCCTTACAAGTATGAATTTGTGAGTTTTTTCATCGCCACTTCTCCTCTTGGCTTCTTGTGAATTCATTGAACGCACTGGGACTCTGCTCACCATACTCACAGGTTCAAAGATTTAAGTTGAATGCGGCTGTTCGGACACTCACTGAAAATGGGCAGGGTAAAAGAAACCCTTCTAGTTACAATGAATGTTAGCTGAGATTGTTTTGTCCACAACTGAAATGTCCCTTACTTATGGTGACTGTCTTCTTCTTCTTCTTCTTCTTCTTCTTCTTCTTCTTCTTCTTCTTCTTCTTCTTCTTCTTCTTCTTCTTCTTCTTCTTCTTCTTCTTCTTCTTCTTCTTTTTCTTCTTCTTCTTCTTCTTCTTCTTCTTGCTTTCTTCTCCTCCGCCCCCCCCCCACTTTCTCTCATCTCATGTCAATAGTACCTCTTTATAAATTATAGCTAGTTCTCGTGGTTACTAGTATTTAATTATGCAATGTAGGCCTACAATTTTACTCTAAATCCCCCCCCCCCCCCCACATAAAAAAATCTATGGGTATAGGACCCAAAGATAGGATTAGAAACGTAAGTTTTAAGGAACTTACTCCCGTGCAATTGTAAGATTAGTTTAATGTGAGATATGTGTGCGATTCTAGCACTGCTCTGTCGTCTGCTTTCGTCTCCACTTTCTGCCCCCTCCCCCTTTGCCTCCTCTGGGCTCCTGATTCTTTCTGCAGCCTTTTTATTGCTACTCCTTGTCTCCTTCGTACTGCTGTCTTTCAGCAACACTCCTGATCTTCAGGTAGGAAAGATCTACATCTAGCCTTCTCGGACAAGGGCGAAAAATCTCGGGAGGTCCCGTGTGCAAGTTGTGCACGTTAAATATCTCTTGGTGGTCTAAAATTTATTCAAAATTTCCTAACAACTGAGAATGTTTGGTGTGTCTCGCGCGCTCATATGACCTTCTGCAGTTGCGAACATTTACAAAGCAAAAAATAATAAAACAAAACAAACACTGGCCAGTCCATGACATTCATGTTATGATCTTTCAGAAACGGTGTTGTTTGTTAAATGGAGAGTGTAAGGGTAGGAGTGTCATGTTGGATGACTTATAGATTCTGATTTTCTCTTTGTGCTGTTTGGCATAGTGATTCGTTAATTGCAGTCAAAAATAAGACGTTCCTGATATAAGTCCTGAGCTTACTGCAGGTGGCGTCGGTAGCCTAGTGGTTACGCTTACCGGACTCGTAATCGTGAGATTGCGGGTTCGGAGGTTCGAGCCTCTGCTCGGTCCGACGCTGTGTCCTTGGGAGATGGGCGTTAAACTCGGAGGCCCCGCCTCTTAAATAACCTAATAGTGTTGAAAAGGGCGTTAAACCTATACCATTTCACCATTTATAACATTTTGAGCTTACTGCTCTGCGCCTCACACTAATGAGAGAAACATTTTCACGTATTCCTTGCATGCCTTGAGCTGTTACTTTTGAGGAACGAAACGATTTCACAGATGGGACAGAAAAATCTGCCTCTCTTGAACAGGGCTGGTCACTCAAGACAGTCTTATTCTTTGCCCATTCCGGACATTTCAAGTGTGCTAAAATCCTTGTACAAGCCGAGAACAATACAAGCACTTCATTTTAGCTCTATTGCTGCTCCTTGGGTAGATTTTCTGCCATGAACAGGGCGGAAGCGAAGGTTGCGTTCAGTTTCGCTGAGGAGCCTTGTAATGAAAGAAATAAAAAAAAGATTTTTTTTAAAAACTAATTGGACTTTTGTTTGAAAAGAGCTAAGGATCATCTTCCACGTAAATAATTTTGTATTTGTTCATGATATAGCAACTAATGAACAAATTTTACTAATGCATAGTTTACTGTTTTGTGGCGAAAAGTACTCATGAAAACAGCAATAATCGTATCTGAGTGTGTGGACTGCTCACGTGTGTCTCCAAAAAACTTGACGATCAGAGCATAATGTGGCTTTTTAAATAACTTTTTGAAAACGTTGCGTTCTTAGTGGCGTTCAGTATACGCGAAACGGCATTATAACCAAATTTTACGGATGGTGAAAAAGTGAGTAAAAGTAAGTTATTACCTCGATGTCTTCACGCATCATTATGATCACAGGCCGTTGTATATCTCACGTTTGCGTTAATATTACAACAAAACTGAGACACCCTCTTCCCCCACCTCCATTTCCGATGTTTTACCCTTGGCCATGCTTTTTGAAATGGGAGAGGGGTGGGGTACTTTAAGTTTGCAAATTTAGATAATGATTAAAACATAGGGGGGGGGGGTTTGCTTTTAATTTTTTTTTTCATTTCCTTTCAATATCCGTCCATTTTCAAGTCCTGTGGCCTTGACCTGCTTTTTGCTTCCCCAGACAAGTGAGATTAGCGCCTATAGCCCCACGTCACTCACCAGCCAGGCCAGTCTGACGTCAGAAACCAGTGTGACCTCAGCAACCAGGTGTGTGTGTGTGTGTGTGTGTGTGTGTGTGTGTGTGTGTGTGTGTGTGTG